AACTATTAAATAAAAAGCTGATGTTTTGTTGAAATAAAAATAAAACATTGTTTAATTACGATTTTCAATTATTAATAAAATCCTCTCCATCAACTTCTTCTGATGTATTCACTACGTTATAATTTGATTTTTTGTGAAAAACATTACAAAAAAAATAGATATAATAATTGCTTCATTTCAATTATTTTCCAAATATACTTGTTTTATGGCGTAATTGTGAAATATGTAACAGAAAACACAAATGGTATAGTAATTCACAGATTCATAAGCTTGTCAACTATTCGACCAGTAAACGTTTAAGTGGTTTTACCGGTTTACTCTACGCAGGGAATTAAAATCAAATTTTTCTAATGTTGTCCAATTTTTGGACTTTCGGAATATATATAAAAGAGATAAATATAATTGATTTCAGCTGAATTAATATGCCATTACTGAAACTATTGTTTGAATATAGTTCAAATAACGAATATTTGAAAAAGTGAGTGATTTAGATACGATTTGCGTGTATATTTTAATTCTCAGTAAAAACTAGATCTAAATATTTAAAAAATATTCTTTTGGTCCGCTAATTTAATTCACGAAGAAACAAAATACGCTTTGTACGTAAGCTATTGTTATGTAATATTTATCATAATATAATAAGTTACAATTATGTTTTACGGCTCATTTATGTATAATATTGGTATTTTATATAAAATTATTAGTTTCATATCCTCTTTTAACATGACTTTTATAATTTTATTAATTTGCAGTGGAAATTAATTACGGAAAACACGAATGCGCTAACAATCATTCCGTGTGCCCTTAATTTAATTATGTACACAATGTACCTATTTCCTTTGTACCTGTTGGTAACAGGAGCTGAGACCTAGATCGTCCATAAATAGGTTAATACTCTGCGTCGATAGTCTCAGTTGTAGATTGTTGCGCTGCAAGACCTAACGCAACTGCTTACATATGTAAACTGGTAGCATACGCGTTTTGCTACAAAAAAGTTTATGTTCATATTCGAAATGAATTGGTAAATATACATTGCAATATAGTAGATAATTTAGCTTACTTATTGTTAGTAAATAATGTTGAAAATAAAAAAATAAATTAAAAACGTAACTTTCCTATAGATTTGTATATATTGTAACATTTTCAAGAAGGAATTTAAAGAAAGAATACTGGATAATTGATAATTAAATTAGTTAGCTGAACACTTCTAACTTCTAAAATTGTGTGAACATTGCTTAATTGCCCTACTGTGCACCCTGATGTAGTTTAGAGAAAATCACTAATATCTTTTGGATCTATTCAATCTATTATAGTTTCGGAAAAAATAACTAAAATGTGAAAACATTGTTTTTTCAAGTGTTGAAAATGAATGAAACTACAGAAATGTGTTAAAGTTAATACCAATCACTACAATTGAGTTTAAATATATTAAGTATGTGTAATAAGAATGATTATCAAATGTTGACGTTGAATTAAAATAATTACGGAGTAATAATTATTGATTGGCATTTGTCAGAGTATTTTTTTTTTGTAATGTAAATTCGTGATGTTAATGTGCGTCCAAATTTATGTTCTCGTTGTTGTTCGAATACTTTGGTCACATTAAAAAATTTCCTCGTCAGCCTGAAGCCGTTTCCGAATGATGTACATTGGGCAGAAGATTGGAAGCCGGTCGGAAAAATATGGGTACAGATCTGAGATTAATGCCGTTGCCCAGAAACTGTGTCATAACGAACCTTCACCGTCATCAACTTCGCTCTAACACCACGACCATGGCTGTATCCGTTTTGGGCATGGGGGCCGTTGCTGTAGAATTCAATAACACAAAAAGCAATACGGAAGACCAGCATTTGCCAACGGAAAACAAATGTGCCATTACATCTGAACGTCTAACATACTTGAAACGTCTGGTCGATGATGCCATCCGAGATCATAGGATATTCACAATCAAAGGTACTATTACATGAATATTAATGGTTGAATTAATTACGATATTTGTAATTCAATATGTTTAAGGGGGGTGGCAGACACTTAGACGTTGTTTCCTGAAACGTAATTGGGTCGAAAAGTACGAACTTGCTAAATCGACGAAACCAGGAAACGTTGTTAATCCCTCGAATTGTTTGGATGACCTATGCAGTAATTTACCAACAAGACAATCTTGGGAGAGTCCATCTGCTCACATAGCGAAATGTGAAAGAACTATCATGTCGAGATTGTTGCAATTTCACGATGTAGTTAAAACATCAGAAATATCTTTAATATCGCTTCAGATAATAATACCATAATATTTTAGGTAGACTTTTATTGGAATACCAGGAAAGATCAACACGATACGCACTTAAGAATAAACTGCCATAAGTTAATAAATAGATTCAGCCGGTCGTTATTCACGTCGAAAGAAGGTTTATGTCTGTTGTTGCAGCAGATGTATTGGCATAATGAACCCGGAATAGCTCAAGTCAATTTCCCCCGATGTTACGTGCTAGGTAACATCCCTCCAATTCATTTCAATTACGCTTTAATCAAACGGTATTTCTGTTTGATCAGGTTTTCCAGATCATTACAATAATTTTATTGAAGATTTTCGCATAACCGCTTGTACCAGTCTACTTAAGTTTATAATACATAAATACGAAACTGAAGACAAGTACGTAATTCAATCTCCCGAAGGGCAAATACCTTATGGCTCTTTCAAGTTTGCCATTGCGAGACTTAATGACTACATAGATTTTCGTAAGCATTTGGACATCGACCGTGAAGCCACGCCCGTGCTCGACGAACAATGGGACCAATTTCTCAAACATTTCAAACTGATCATTCACGAAAATAATGTATTTCTCGAATCGAAGGAGTACAATCTGGATGAACTTATAGCTGCATCAAAAAGCGTTTTAAAGAAAATTGATCCATTCTGGCCTCAACTAGATTTAGATGGAATGAAGAATATTTGGATAATGAAACCGGGCAATAAATGCAGAGGCCGAGGCATCCAATTGATCAAAGACGTAAAGGATGTCGCTAAAATTATGGACCTGAAGTTGAAATACGTGGTTCAAAAATATATTGGTATGCAAAATGTATACCCAAATATATACTAATATATATATCACTTTTATTTTGTATTGTAGAAAAACCATTAATTATTTATGAAACTAAATTCGATATTAGGCAATGGTTTTTAATTACGAGCGTCCAACCTTTGATGATCTGGATGTACAGGTAGTAATATGCAAACTATAAAATGAGTTAATTTATTTGATTCAATTGCAAACAGGGAGAGTTACTTGCGATTCAGTTCTCAAAACTTCAGTTTGGAGAATTTTCACGAATCACTTCATTTAACTAATCACGCCGTGCAATGTAAATACAAAAATAAACAGGATAGAAACAAAGCACTGCCAGATGAAAATATGTGGGACTGCCATACATTCAAAACATACTTGAATAGCATTGGACACGAAAATAAGTGGGACGCTGTGATATTTCCAGGTGTTTGTTGTTGTTTTGCACGCAATGCAATTACTTATATTAGTTGTTGTTGTTTTTATTATTATTAGGGATGAAAGAGAGCATAATTGGATCGATGTTGGCTTGTCAAGAGACCATGGACAGAAGACCAAATACTTTCGAATTATATGGAGCGGACTTCATTTTGGCAGAAGATTTTAAGCCATGGTTGTTGGAGATAAACTCTAGTCCAGATCTTTCCTCCTCTACCAGTATCACTGCAAAAATGTGTCCGCAATGTTTGGAAGATATAGTAAAAGGTATGAAATGAATCTTTCTTAATGTTCAAATCATAAAATGTTGTTGATTTCAGTGGTAATTGATAAGCGTAGGGATCCAAATTGCGAAACTGGATTATTCGAGATGATATACAAACAAAATCTACCTAGAGCCCCCGCTTATCTAGGTATGAGTCTAACAGTTAGAGGAAGAAAGGTATTCAAAAGGAAAACTATAAGGAAGGACAGCGAATCAAATAAAACGAAATCGAATAGATCCGCAAAGCTAAGTCCACCGGATATGGCTTTGACATTGCCGGAACCTGTAATGAAAGAAGTGGTGAAAAAGTATACTGGCCCGGTTATCGAAGATTTGATGGTAGAATTGAAAAGGCATGCTGGCCAGGAGAGTGACTGCGAACCCGGTTTCGAAGTTGCCGTTCCGGTGAAAATTGAACGTAAGAAACCGGCAAATAAATCAGACAGTAGGGTACCGAGGTATCAAACAATTCCTCCAATTGAAATTAATGAAAGTAATTCCATTAGAACAAAGGGAAACGTAAGAGAAAATTACAAGACAGCACAAACTTTGTCATCAAAGATGGTAAGAAATAATTGCAGCGTAAGCAGAAGAGAATTATCTTTTGATCCAAAACCTCATCAAGATTTTTGGATAGATAATGTGAGTATACTGAAGGGGAAAAATAAATTAATTTCTCGAGTAAATGGCGATTCTCTTTTGGCTCCGTCCACATTGCGTTCTTTAACTTTTAGCACAGCTAGTAAAAGTGTTTTCCGCTTGAAATGATTAGCTTTATCCGTTACATCCACAATGATTGTCATCGATTACTTTTTAAGAATAAATAAATAAATGAATAACAAAATCATTTTAAATCAAGTTTTCTTTATACCCATCATATGTCATAGTATCAATCAAAATCGCCTGTATAAATCATCAACATTACTTTTTTGCATTATTGACTTCAAAATTCTTGTGATATATCAGTTTCAATAGATGGAGAAAATTGGAGAACCTAACAGCTATAAATCAGAAGTAAGTATTAATTGTACCTTTGGTATTACTCAATTTGAAAAAAAAACGTTGATTACAAGAATCAAATTATAGAACGTGCAAGTATTAAAAGTACATGCTGCGAAGGGAGTGAAGAGTGTAAGTGCTTTATAAAATAGTAGCTTGTTTTTATCTTCATATCTTTCGTTTAAGGGCGATAAGTCGAAGAGATCCCAAAAAGATAACGTCATCATTGAAATTAAAGGAAAAACGAAACAGGATATAATCCCAATGAAGACAAGATATTCTGCAGATGCACAAGCAAATACGAGACGAAGAAATCAATTTAAGCAGAAGCACAAAAGCGATAATATAATTTCGAAGAAGCTGAATTCAAATTCACCAGTGTTAAAATTAATGGAAATAAAGGCAGTTGATACGACGAAGGATCCTAAGAAGAATCAATTATTACCGAAGAGTAAACCATCCACACCAAAGCCGTCTGTTACATCGAACATCAAACCAAAAACACCGTTAGACAAGGATCTTTTCACGTCGAAATTAACCAATATTTTGGAGAAACTGCATAAAGATTATAATGCAATAGAGTCTGCAATTCCTAAGCCAGAAATTGCCAGTGGCCGGACTTGTGGAAAACCGGGAACGGATAAAACGTTAGCATATATCCAAGAGTGGAGTAACAAGAGTAATGCAATTTTGAAAGAGAAACTTATAGAGATGATACAGAATCAGCGTACGAACATGCGTAATTTCAGTAAAAATAATGTTGCTTCAACCAAAACATCATCTTTATCAAACAAAAGTACTAAAAACGCCGCTGCAAAGACGAAAACAGCTCCACCAATCAACAGTACCTTCAAAAAAACAATCAACACATCAAATGTAGATAGCTGGCAAAAGCATGCAACAAATCAGTTAAACATTTCCAAACCATCTAACTTGACACCCCAATACTACAATCCAAGTAGATCATGTCCTATGCATACTATTGTAATCAACAAACCCTTAGTACAGAATCAAATGACGAGCACATATGTTAATAATTTACCGATAACAGCTAAATCTGCCAGCGTAACTATGGCCAAATCAACATCTATGAATTTTAGAAAACCATCCACAGTTCCAACAATTTCGCATGGAGCAACAAAAGACGAAGTTCAAATGATACGAGAAAGAGTTGATGAAGCGATAAAGCAACGAAAAACCTTTTCAATTTGCGGTAATTATTATAGCATCCGCAATGCTTTAATATCTAGAGGATGGATCGAAAAACTTAATAATGCATTTACACCGAATAATTGCGATAACGCATTGGTACGACGACTGCAATTGCTTTCGATTCCTGAATTATCTGTAGGCCTTAAAGATAAGGAATTTGGACATGTTTATCGGCAAGTGATTCAATCGAAATTTATTGGTAACACTCCACTTGCCCTATATTGGGATTTAAACAGAGAAACCTACAGAAATAATTCCGAGCACGTTAAAAACGCATTAGTCAATTTTATTAGTAAAAATAGATTTAATTATGCCAACAAACAAGGATTATGTGAATGCATTAAGAGTGCTTATTGGTACAATAATCCAGGAATAGCTTACTTGAGGGTACCCCGTTCTTATTGTCTGATCAATAATGGTGATCCAGATGAGTTTATCGAAGATTTCAAAGTTACAGCAGCAATGTCGTTTTTAAAGTGGATTGTAATCACTCACGATTCAAAAAAATCTAAATTGATTTCAAACTGCGGTAAAATACCTATTAGGTACTTCCATTTTGCGTTGCAAGAATGCGCCAAATTTGCGCAGAAATTGCGACACGAGGATATTGATAAAGAAATCCGACCAGCCATACCACATGAATGGCAAGAATTCCTGGATTCTTTTTACAAGGTGGTTCACGTGGGTAATCATTTCCAAGATACTTCTTTAGAAACTGAACTGTCTTTGGTACACAAATCAAAAACGATGTTAAATAAATTAAGGAAAATGTGGCCTTGCGTTGATATGGATGGCTACATGAATATTTGGATTTTAAAGCCTAGTTATGGATCTCGTGGTGTCGGGATATACTTTTGTCGGACATTGCAATATGTTTTGAAAGTGTTGAAAGAGCACAAAAACAATAGCTACGTAATCCAGAAATATATTGGTATTATATTTTCAATTATTCCTCGAATCATTCATTGCATGTATTTTTCTCATTTTAGAACGTCCTTTACTGATACACCATACCAAATTTGATATTCGACAATGGTTTCTTATAAGTTCAACAATGCCGTTAACAATTTGGATATACAAGTTTGTCCAGAAGCTTTTTTTCACAATATATCCTAATAATGTACACTCTTTCAGGGAATGCTATTTGCGCTTCAGCTCGCAAACGTACAATTTACGGAAGTTGCACGAATCTATTCATTTAACAAATAATTCTGTGCAGTCAAAATATCACAACGGTAATAGAGATCCTGGTTTGCCGGCCCACAACATGTGGTTTCTGCGAGAGTTTAAAGAACATCTCACTAATCTGGGTTATCCTCATGTCTACGATGACATTATATTCCCAGGAATTAAAGAGTGTATCACAGCAGCAGTATTGGCAACTCAAGATCAAATATATCGGACATCGAAAGCCTTCGAGTTGCACGGAGCAGATTTCATGATCACCGAAGATTTCATACCTTGGCTTATAGAAATTAACTCAAAGCCAGCATTAAACCCGAGCACTGCAGTTACGTCAAAACTATGTCCAGCTGTATTAGAAGATGTTATCAAAGGTTCGAAATGTTGATAATTAATAATCATTAATACTGACTCTCTGTTACTGTTTACAGTTGTTATTGATCATGCTCGAAACCCTAAAGCACCTACGGGTAATTTCGAATTACTTTATAAAGAGAAGGTGATGACCCTGCCTCCTGTAGATGATTCAGTATTGCAAATAAAAGGACAACCCATTGATGCAAATTACTTTCTAACACCTGAACAAGAACAGAACATGCCAATCAATACGACGAGTGATCGTTCAGGAGATAGCATAAATATTATTAAAACGACAGATTATATGAAATATATAGGAAAAGAGATGAAGAATACATTAAAACAATTATTAGCATTGGTTGAGAAAGAAAAAGAGAGACGACGACGTCTTCGTGAGCCGAATGCGGCTGGTGAAATGGATATGGAAAGTTTTGAATGCTGCGAGGATATGGAAAAGATTAAGCGCAACATGAAAGAAATTCAAGAAATCTTCAAATTCAATGAGAAAGGCGGGAAGAGAGCTAGTGTCAACCAAATTTGTTTACCGAAAGCATCGGAATCTCTATTAAGAACAAACAGTAATAAAATTAAGGAGGCAATTGGTTCTTTAGAAAATAAAAGCAAGGAAAAAGAACCCTCTACATCAATATTTTCTAATATCATGAATATGATTGAAGCATTCAACTATCCTGCAACTTAATAAAAATGTATCTTGATTGATGTAGGATGTAGAATTAAAAAAATATTATTACCAATAACCATTTAATTTATTGAATGAAACATTGCAAAAATTGCTACAGACAAAGAAAATTACAACTCACTGGCATCCCCCAGAAAAAAAATAGCACTCATACTTACTCATGAAATTATTAATAATTCTTTGAACGATACGCAATTTCTATGTATATGTATATATATATATATAAAAACAAATCAAATGGCTTAAAAAAATATTTACACCTGAGCTTATAATTAAAAATGTATATAATGATACAACATTATTCACTTCACTTTTCGTCAATCTGATTTTGAGCACAGAATACACTAAAGCACCGATTTCAAAGAAAAAGAAAGTTTTGGTCGCGAATTGTTTTTTCCTAGTATTTTCTTCTGTTCTTCTTTCATGCGTTTCTCTTGCTCCCTTCGCAGCTTTTGCCTTTCCTCCTCCATTTTTCGTTGTTCTTCAATCATGGCTAACCTTTCTTCAGCCTAACGAAATCGTGTTATACCTTGTACAATATAAGTAATGTGTATAGTTCAACATACCAATTTTCTTTGGGCTTCTTCTATCTTCTTATTGTTTTCCGCCATAATTTGCTCCAATTCTTCTCTTTTTCGTCGCTCCTCCTCCTATAAACATTAAAAGCGTGAACTTGGGAATACACTATACGCATGATCGATGCCTTTCAAGTATAAACATACTACACTCTCTATCACACCCCTAACTTATTAATTAAAGGAAGGAAATATCGACGACAAAAGACTTCATTCATACAAATCACAGTCGCTCGGCACCGATCATAGGTTTTTCAAATACACAAAAAAAACACCCTGTAAATTAATAACCAAATAAAAGTAAAAGTAAAATAAAAACTTTTGTGTATGATAAATAATGTAATTTTCTTATATATTTATTTTAAAATAAAATATAAAAGGTAGATAATACCTGAAAGTTGAGGGGCTGCGTCCCATCTCGACAAGCAGTCTATATAATCTGTATTTCTTGACTCGTCTCATCTGCTCAAATCCTGTGACTCTTTACCTTAATAGCTATATTAGCCAAGTGGCAAACGATTTGTTAATATAGATCTTTAAGACCAAATGGGGTGTATGCAAAAACACGACGGCATCGAAAAGAACTAGTTTTGTGGATTGCATATTTTCTATGTTTTCTTTCTTTTGTGTTTTCGTAATAAACGTACACCGGATATTTAAAACACTTGAAACTGTTCATTTAAATATCTGATGCGATTTTTTTATTCAAAATGCAATACTCGGTTTCAAAATAATAATAATAATACATGTAAATCAAAAAAATAAATAACAGAAATATAAATAAACAATTCTCTATAAAAAAATAAATAAATCTATCATCACTCTCTTTTATTATAATAGCTGTAATTGGAAATAGAAACGACATTGTTTTATTGCTGCCTTTCGCAAAATGGCGCTTACCTCTCTGTTTTTCTCTTCCATAATTTGCATCTCGCGCCGCCTTTCCATTTCTTCCATCATTTGTTTCTCCATTATCTTTTTAGCCTCTTCCACGCGTTTCGCCACTTCTCGTTCTATTTCGTCTTTCCGTTTCTCTAACTCTTCTTCTACTCTTTTATTAACTAGTTCTTCAATTCTCTTCGCCGCTCCTTCTTCAACCTGCCTCTGTTCAGCTTCGCGTTGCCGCCTCTGTCGTTCCATTTCTGCTAAGCGCTCCACTTCGTCCATTTTTCTAGTCCTCGATTTCTTATGAATCTTGGTTTTTGTTAAATCAACTGATCCATCACTACTTGAAGCTGAAGACACTGAATGTGACCTTTTTCTGTAACAAAACAACAAATACAATTATAGTATAATTCAATGTTCCTCTACACACAAATACAATTTTTTATTTGAGTACATATTCAATTGTGTAAAATAGGTATTGAGAAAATTGTTTATATGATTACATTTATATTTCAGACACCAATTGGAATTAAGCAATTGATAACATAGTTAAATTGTATGTAATATATCATTAATTACTTGTTGAAACTTAAGTAAATATCATTCACTTTAAATAATACTGTCATCAAATAATTAGATTGATATAGCTAAATTAATGTTAATTACTACTGTAATAGGAGTTTCATGGCAATATCATATGACTTATGTTATCTAATAAATTGAAAATATAAATGTTCCTTTGAATAGTGTATAAGGTAATTGTCCAGATTAGATTAAATAAAATAAAAATGTATGATCATAAATTAGATTTTTCAAACAAAATTTGTCTTAATAACATATAATACAATCTAATCTATTTCAATTGTAGTTTAATGTAATATAAATCATTCATTTATATGTATACACACACATACACACATATGTATATATGTACATGTGTATATGTATTTATAGATTATTTACATTGTTAATATAAAAATGATATGTACCTAGCTTTAGAACTTCGCTCTTTAGTCTTTTCAGATTTGTAACTTTTGCTGGAACTTCTTTCTGATCTATCCCTGGATTTACTTCTTTTGTGATGTTTACTTTTATGGTGTTTTCTAGGAGATTTGCTACGCGACCTCGAACGACCCATTATGTATTTATACTTTTCAATTTATAATCCAATGTCTAGTATTCACAACGATCACAACTATATGCACCAAATTCACTATTTAAATATCAATTTAACAATTGACGCAATACAATTTTTCTCGATATATCATGGCTGATATTACATCGCAGACAGAAGCAGATTAAAGCACATTCACTAATTCAGACATATTCACAGATTGTGCTTGGAAACATGGAAAGTTTGGTTATTAAATCAGAATGACCAACATATATTTTTGTAGTAGTTTTTTTACAACTGCAATTGAAATATAGAAACACTCTAACAATCTACAATTTTTTGATAATCTCAACAATATAATTAGAAGACTGATATATGTGACCTTTTATTATTACTTTGGTTTTCACAATAATCCTAAAATAACATAGTGACAATTTTCGTATGTTGGTAGTATGTATGTTGACATAACAATTTCAGTTGATTTCAGTTTTTATTAGTGGTGGTGGCGGTGTTACAGTGTTATAATTTTGTATATAACAAACCATAAAAGCGCAACAATGTCTGACAATATAAATTAACATTAATATTTTAAGAATATTTGACTGAGTTGTAAACATTTCAACAAAATGTCTTGCAGTCATCTATATGAGAAGAGGCCTCTGAAGAAGCCTAGGATTGGGCCCCCAGATGTTTATCCTCAGGAACCCAAGCAGAAAGAAGATGAATTGACCAGTGTTAATGTTAAGCATGGATTTCCAATAATGAACCACCTGAATGATGAATTTGGTACAGCTCGTAATTGCAACTTGACTGCAGCAAAAGTAATTATAATACAAAATTACTTGGCATCTCTTTATAATAAATAATTGCTTGCAGGTCGGAGCATATTTCAATGGTATTATCTTAAAAAAAGAAGAACTTAGTACATTACCAGATTCAGGGAGGAAGAAACAAATTAATCCCAAGGATAACTTTTGGCCAGCCACAATCAGAACTAAAAATGCAATAGAAACTTGGTTTAAAGATTTGGCTGGAAATAAACCATTGACAACATTGTCAAAGAAAGCTCCAAACTTTAATAAAAAAGATGAGATTTTTTTGATGCTTTGTGAACACCAAGTACCAATGATGAGAGCTGCTTGGTTTATAAAACTTAGTTCTGCATATACTGTTGCTGTATCAGAAATAAAAATCAAGAAAAGACAGCTACCTGACTCTACCACTGGTGAGTTTCCTTTAGCATATTTCTATATGTTAATTATTATTAATTGCATTTTTAGAATGGACTGTAACATTATTGAAATTCCTAAAGGATCAAATACCTAAGTTGCAAGAGCATTATTCACAAGCAGAGAAAACTGCCAGTACAACACCAGTTGCAAATAGTGCAACTATTAGTGAAAGTGAACAGAAATTAGCAATGAAGTTGTGGAATTATTGCATTCAACTTCTTAAATACATGTCAGAAGATGGTTTAATTGATCGACAAGAGTTGCTCAATTGGATTATTGAACTTCTTGAAAAGATGAGATCTCAACCAGCAGATGATGGCATGTTGAGATTGTTTCTCCCACTTGGTTTACAATATTTAGATGAATTTGTTCAATCCGAGTTGCTCTGTCGTCGCTTAGCGTATCTGTGTTGTAAAAAGTTGGGCTACATGTTGAATACTGTTGCAGAAACAAATCTAATTACATCTCCACAGAGCGAGAATATTAAGACAGAAACAGCAACATTGAAAGAAAATGAAAAGGGAGAGAAGAAAGAGATTACAGCAATTAATCCATTACAGACCACATTATTAGAATATCAGAATTGTCCACATCACAGGGATATTGGTGGGTTATTTGTTATTTTTGTTGTTTATAACTTATTTTCATATTATTTTTGCAGTTCTTCAATTAAGTTGTATTATTCAAACTATATCATTAGAATGCCCAACAGCTCTTGTATGGTGTGGAGCTGGTATTGGCACTATTTGGAATGGTTCTGCATTAGATTTGCTTCCTATCGCTCCATCTATTCTTCCTCTGCCGGCACGCTGTGATATGATATCTTATAGGAAACAACTGAGACAGATGGAATCTAATATAAGGGAACGCAGTAAAAGAGCAGAAAGTAGATGGTGCATGGATAAGTGGCAGCAGTGTTCGGCTGGAACAATAACGACGCGTGTACTGGCGGCTTTGGATGCTTTAGATAGGCACCGATTTGACCGAATGGATACTACTAATTCTCTTGATACTTTGTATAGTAAAGTGTTTAGTAACAACGAAAACGAAGATTCTGTAGTAAAGTTGCTATGCGAATGGGCTGTATCTCCAGAGCGTGCTGGTGAACATAGAGCGCTTGCCGTCGCTGCATTATTGGATAAAAGGCAATCGGACACATCAAATTCCATGGATCAAGATTCAAAGGAAACTGACGACAAAGATAGTAATAGTAGCATTCCAGGAGGACCTCCAATGTTCCAAAGTTTGCTTATGAAGTTTCTAGATTCTGATGCTCCAGTACCTTCTCCAGACGATTCTTCACAGGTAACATAAAATGAACCTTATTCATGAGATCCAATAGCAACCTATTATTTTTAGAAAAAAATGGCTTTTACAAATTTAGTACATTTATTCGCTGAATTAATACGACGCGATGTATTTTCTCACGACGCTTATATGTGCACGCTAATTTCAAGAGGTGATTTACTTGGTCACGAGGAAGCATCAGAATTATCGCATACGAAATTGGAGGTACTCAAATATTACGAAAAACCAATAAGATTGATAATAACTAATATTATTTATTTTAGGATCATTCTCATCCAATGGATTATGACGATTCAAAGATTGATGCGGATTTAGATAAAATTCTGCAAGATATAAATGAAACAAACAAACAAAATTCAATGGACATTCCAGACAGTCCAAAAGATCATGATCACAGTCATCATCCGCACGTTATTCCCACAACTATGGATGCCGTTGCCATGGAAACTGATCATGCAGATCATAAAGTTAAACCATCAAGACATTTTCTGTATACTACTCATTTTCCATTATGCCAAGATGACCCATATAGTCAACACGATTGCAATCAGAGGCATGTTTTACTTTACGGTGTTGGCAAAGTTCGCGATGAAGCTCGTCATACTGTTAAAAAGATGTCAAAAGAGATTTGCAAATTGTTTTCAAAGAAGTTTAGTGTTGATGTGGCTGAAGGAGGTAAAGTGAAAAAGCATTCCAGAAACGAATTTAACTTTGAAGCAACCACACAAAAATGCCAAAGTTTAAGCTACTTTGACCAACATGTTGTTACATGGCAATGCAGTGTAACTGTAATCGAGATGTTAAACTCATTTGCCACTGGAAACTCGAATTATTTACCAGTGCAAGAGCACGTTGCATTCCTGTTCGATCTAATGGAATTGGCTTTAAACATATACGGTTTAATTGATGTGTGTATACAAATATTGAAGGAGCTCCCTGAAGTAGAAGCTCAACTCATATCCAAAAATTCCGTTCTTATGAGGAACTACACGACCAGTTTAAGCCTTTACGTTGTTGGAGTATTACGGAGATATCATTGTTGTCTGCTATGTATGTTACTTATATTTATATTTTAGTTCTGTTATTCATTAGTTTTTCAACATTTCTAGTATCTCCGGATCAAACATCTGCTGTTTTCGAAGGCTTATGTCGAGTCGTCAAGCATGTTTCCAATCCAGGCGATTGCAGTTCAGCTGAAAGATGTATTCTGGCACATTTATATGACTTGTACTCTTCGTGCAGTCTATTGAAATCAAAGCCCCATACAGTAGAACCGTTTGGAAACGCTTATCCAAAAATACGACAAGCCTTGTACTCAGCCTTACAACCAATGCCTAGTACATATAGCTACAACCCACAGTTTATGCAGGAAGTATTCACAAATCCAAGAAGAGGTGGTAGAATTGAGAGTTCTTGGGCCAGACAATTGAGTGAAAATGGAAACAATAGGTATTAATATCTTACACAAATATGTTTCTAAATATTATTTAACTATGAGTTTAATTTTAGATACTCTTTTGTTAGCAATGCAATTATTTATGTATGCAGAGAAAATGACAATGAGCGTTTAAATGATTTAGCCATAATATGTGCTGAAATGACTGCATGCTCAAACAACCTGGCTTCGGAGTGGTTAGGTGCGCTCTTAGCACTATGCTGTCCTATGTCACATCCAGGATATTATACAGATTTACATACCCACTTAGATATACAAGATGCCAGTATACACAATGCACTGGCTGTTTTCACATGTATTTTAATAGCACGGCATTGTTTTTCATTGGAGGATTTCGTAGCCCGAGTTGCCCTGCCGAGTTTGCTGAAGGTACGAGTACTTATATTTGGATAGTAGTTTGTATATCCTAAAATTTGTTCGTTTATTAGGTTAAGTCATTAGACAATGGAGGAGGTGCTGCTGAAGGTGGTATGCGTCTTACATGCCATTTGTTGCTACGTCTCTTCCGCACTGCTGAGGGCCCTCAACCTGGTCTATATTCCGTGGGATCCCCACCTTTGACTGCACCCAGACCTCCTTTAGGGGTGAGACTTAGTTGCGATAGGCATCTATTAGCTGCCGCCCACAGGAATATCCATGTCGGGCCTGTTTTGGCCGTCTTGAAGGCGGTTTTGGTAGTAGGTGATGCGACAGCTAAGGAAGGAACAGAATTAAGCATTTCGCATATATTGGGAACCAGCGATTTAATTGGAACCGGTGATGGGCCTGCTGTTGATTTAGCGTAAGTACAACTAATTAATGTTAACGAATTAATGACACAAATTCGACTTTAAAGTAAAGAAATATACTTATTAATAGCTGATGATATTCAGATCTAATACTATGTAATTATTATCAGTTACATAATGTAGCCTCTTATGGTTTAATATGAATTCAGCAGCTACTATAAACTACCATTATTGTTAAATTTATATTTTTATATAATTACACATAACATTCTAACAATTGATAATAACATTTAAATTTAATCATATATTTGCAAAATATATTCTAGAATTAATCTGTTCCTAATTATTATCTATATAAATTGATTTCCTGGAAAGGTATACAGAATAAGCTACCATATTTGAATCGCCGACATCAGTGAATATGACTGGTATACAATTGTATGTTTCTTTTGTATTAGGGTGATTGATATGGATATCTGCGGCTCGAGGACGACCCATAGGTTTGTCGATGCACATAATTTACATATTTTAAGTGTATGCACGGGGGTCAGCTTATTTTCTTTTTATGTATGGAAATTGTTTGACGATGCATCGTGTGAAGTAATTCATAATTTGTTCTTTCCCCTGGAAATTTATTCTTCTGACCTTTGTGTTTGTATTTTGCTTTGGCTTTAATTGTTTTGCACAAATTAAGCACCTACAAAATGATTAAAACGATATTTCATTTTGTATTTTTTTTTATGTTTCACTGAATTGCTGTAGTTTATGTGGTGTAATTATTTAACTTTACTTTAAAACAATCTTTGTTTTGAATTTCGTTTACTATTTTTACAATTCTTGGCTATTTCCATCACTATCATAAAAAATGTAAATAACTAAGTGCTTGCGTTAATTGTGTCTATATAAATAATAATGTTACTTAATTTTCTTATTTAGACAAGCAAGCAATGGGAATAGTGAAAGTACTGCATCGTTATCTGCTTTTGCTTGTCACGTATTAAGAGAGATTTGCTCACAACAGTGGGTCTTGGAACGATGTTTATGTCATCCAGAGGATCTTTGCCATCATGATAATTTATTGGATCCATTGTTATCCCATTCACAAGCGCAGCGACTTCTACATATGATTTGTTACCCGGACATTAGTGCAGCGATTGATGAATTAGACCAGAAGAGCATGATTAGCCGGATATTGGAAGTACGAATTTATACTTTTATTTTGTATTCATATGTTATAATTGTATTATGTGCAGAATTTAGAGTTGTGGACTTTGCGTATGTCTTGGCTTGATTTGCAATTAATGTTTAAACAATTCAACCCAAATTCACCGGAGTTAAGTCAATGGCTCGAAACAGTTGCTAAAGCCGCCATCGATGTGTTTCAATTGAATTCTTCAAGTTGCAGTTCTTCCAACTCCGATGATAAAAAGTATAAATATATGAAATACTATTCTAAATTTCATCTATTTAACTTGATTTGTTTTAGAAGTGATTTAAAATCAAAACAACCGGGTTCAATTTGGTTAGTTGCACCGTTAATATCGAAACTATCCAGTGCGGTCCAAGGACGGGTTTTAAAAGTTGCTGGCCAAGTTTTAGACAACAACGGATGGGTAAAAGACGGCCAGAGACATAGGAAATCCTCTGGTGAAAACTCGAGTGTTTTGAGTCACCAACCATTCCTAAGTTTAGTGTTAACATGTTTGAAAAATCAAGAGGAGGGCCAACGTGAATATTTGCTTTCTTGTTTATATCAACAGCTGTCTCAATTGGTTTCATTGGCTAGGGATGGCAATTTAACTGATATCTGTAACAATGATAGGACACTCGATGGTCTACAGTTAAGGTTTTCTTTAGTTGGAGGTGTGTTTGAAGTGTTCCAGCGTAGTGTTTCGGTAACTACAGATTGGGCTCTGCTTCTTGTGCAATTGGTCACGAATGGTTTAGTGGACTTGCATACGCATAGTGATTTATTTACAACAGTGATCGATATGTTAGCTACTCTGGTACATTCAGCTCTCGCTACTGACCCACAGGTAAATATTTTATAATATTAATTGATGTTATTTTAATTTTTGTAACATATATTTTTAAGGACGATGGTAGGAAAATGTACCAAAATCTAACAAAAAAGTTGAAAAAAGAAATTGGTGAAAGACATAGTGCTTCATTACAACATATTAGGCAGCTATTACCATTACCGAGAATTTCTACTGAAGTAATCGCAGTAGAACAAACTGGTTATATTACCGATAACAAAGGGAACAAAATTAGTTTTGATAGCATTGACAAGAAAAATGGATTTCAGGTATATCATTTGCAAATAAGTTAGTTTTAGCGTATATGACGTTTTAATATTAAATTATTTTAGGTAACAGACAAACAACGCGTTAGTTCTTGGGATGTTCTGGAAGGCATGAAGAATCCCGCACCACTTTCATGGGCATGGTTTGGAGCTGTTCGTTTGGAAAGGAGGCCTTTACCTTGCGAGGATACTCATCGTTTACTAAAGTATCATACTCACAATTTACAAAAACCTGCATCGCATTATTTGGAGCCTCCGCCATTGCCGCAAGAAGATTTAGAACCAGTGTCTGATAAACCTGTAAGTGATTCTCTATTAATTAGCAATGTGCTTTTAATGCTTATCCCTATGCAATATATGTTCACTTATATACATATTGGACATTTTCCTATAAGTACATTTACGTTATTGTTTTGTTTTGGCTGAATGCACGGTAATCACTCTAAATATTATTTTGCCGTTAATTATTTAAATCCAAAACTATCCAATTAAAATTGCTAAAGTGGGTTTGTATTGCACCCACGGCAATTAGACATCTTTCGCTAGTAGCTTAGCATATGTAGCATGTGTACCTACAGCTAAAGGAGCTTGACCTGAAGGCTGATACTCCATCATCGGTTGATCAGTCCCCCGCAGCTCTCGGCAAAGGACGCGGACGTGGCCAAAGGAAGATCAAGAAGAAAGGAACGCCTGGACAAGTACCAATACCAACCATGGGCATGGGTCAAACTCCTATGGGACAAGCTCAGCCTGGTAAGTCGATATACTTTAAATTAGAGAATTTTTTTTATAAACTATAAATATTTTTTAAGGAATGGCCGGCATGCAAGGCGTCCCAGGACCAACGCCTCAGATTCCACATATGGGCTATGCAGGTGCTGGTATGCCACAACAGCAGCAGCAATTTGCCGGCAATCCCAACCAACAGCAATGGTACAATCAGTCCCAGCAGCAACAGCAGCAGCAGCCTCCACAACAGCAACAACCACAACAAGGATATTATCCACAACAGATTCCGAACAGTAGTAAATATCGCTTAGTGGTAATCAAAAATTTGAAACTAATATGTGCTTGGTAAAGTTAATAGATTTGAAAGGCCTCAACAACACTGCAAACAAGCTTTATCAAATATGTTGAGGCAAAGGTTGCCAATGAACCAGTTTCAAGGACCAGGACCCGTTCCCCAGGCTGGTTATCCGCAGAACATACAAAGATTTCGACAAACTTTGCGACAGCCTCATCCAAGTGCCATGCAGAATCAAGTAATTCTATAAACTATATATGTTTGCTTCATTACTAATTCTACATATGTAGGGTATATTTCCACAGCAACAATATAACAATATGCAGAGTACCATGAATCAACAATACGCAGGAAATTACGGAACAGCGAATATGATACCGGGTCAACAAATGATGCAGGGCGCTCAAAACACAGCAATGTTCCAACAACAAAATTTCAACCAAGGTCCGAGACGACCTCAGCCTGACTACCGTGGTATACCGCAAAACGCAGCGGCTCCTACAAGACCACCGTATTTGCAACAAGCACCAAACGTAACCATGAATATGAATACCATGGGGAATGTAAGCGGTGGACAGGGTGGTCCCGCGCCTCCATATTCGAGACAAGGTCAACAAAGTAAATATATGTCAATATATGTTATAGGTGTTTTAATACTAATCAAAATATTTTAGATGTTGGAATGCAACCAGGTGTAAGCATGCAACAGAATCAGTTCCAGCAACAAAGGATGCGACAGCAATTATTTATGGAGCAACAACAGCAGCAGCAACAACAACAACAGCAGCAGCAACAACAGCAGCAGCAGCAGCAACAGCAGTTGCAACAAGGTGGCCCTCAGGGTCAACTTGTTGCTAACTTAAGACAAATGAATAATCTCCAATACCCTCATCAACCACCACCTTATATGGGTTAATAGATAACTTATGATAATTTATTTAATGTTTTTAATTTTATAATTTTAATATATTTCCCAATTTATTGATATAATTGTGATAATATAAATATATGACATTTTAACTTTTTGTTTAATTTATTGTGTGTATTTATATGTGCAATGTAAAACTATCCTGAATTTTATAATTAAAAATATTTTAAAACTAATAAGTTTTGTTTCTTAATGTAGATTTCAGTATTTAGTCCAACCAATTTTTTAATTTATCTTGTTTTCAATGATCTTGCTATAATCGATATGATTATGTTATCTACATCCTAAGTTATAAATAAACAGGAAATTCTTGGATACAATGTTACGATGACTGACGATGACCTGTAGCGCCAATGACGTGCAGTGTCGGTGATCAACAGTAACATTAAAACAGAATGAGCTGATTTTGTTTAACAATTTAAGTGCAAATTGTGTATTGTTAATTTAGTTATAAGAAATAGATTTTATAGTGTTATAAGTAATTGGTAAGTGTATTTAAATATACGTACATATTTCAATGTCTCTTACATTCTATAACCTTTAATATGTAGTCTCATATGATGATTATTTTGGCTTTAGTCCACCTTTTCTATAAATTATAATTTTACATTTTCTTGATAAATATGTAAATAAAATTAGTGCTTAAATGTAAAATAACTGCTTCCATCTGTTGATAATATTTAATAAGAATAGAAAACCATTTGAGGCACTTATTTTAAAAGTGTTTTGCTGTAATAGATGAAGTGTATATGTTTTAAGTAAATATTTAATTTCTTATTATTATGACTGTGCATTTTATTAACATTTTACAATGTCAAGGTATGTCAGATGAACCATTCGAAGATGGCAATACACAAACAAGTACAGCAGAATCATCTGCACCTCTACTGGACGAAGAAGAAACACTACAGGACATGCCATCACCTGTTGACAATGAGGATCCTAGTTCTGTTTACATAAATCATTTGTATGATGAGAAATTTACACCTAGTTATGGAGAGGAGGAAATAGTCCATGAATTGAAACATTTTGATAATTATGAGTTTAAATGTAATGGGAACATTAAGAAGCATCCAGATATAGCAGCAATCTCAGAAATAAATTTATACCAGGATGACAATTTAGATGAGCAAATGGATACCAACAAGTATGTACAAAGGTGTTAGTTTTGTTGGAAGATGAAATTAATATTTTCTTTTCTAGGGATTTTGCAGGAGTTCAAAGACCAGCCTTGAAAATATTTATTCAAGAAAGTTTTACAAATCCTGCAAACAATTCAAATGTACATTGCAATTGTGTGAAACATATTAAATGTCCAAAACCTACAATATTCTTCTCTGATGGTATCAGATCTGTTGACTTTATGTTGGTCTGGGATGAACTGGAGGAACAAGCCATAAGTGCCAACGCCTATATCAGAAGAAGAGTATTTGAAGATAATCTCATTAAGGAAGGTTTGCAATTGGAATATGAGGAAGCAGAAAAGAATGGACTTAATTTCATTAAAGTGCATGCTCCAAATGAAGTATTAAGAAGGTATAGTGAGATTCTTAAACTGCGTATGCCAATGAAAGAGGTGAGTTTTCAATATTTAATTTTCATGGACGTTGTTTTTTTTATTATTATTTTTTTTCACATTCAGTCATAATTTTATTTGCAACAACAATTATATGATTAAGTTGATCTAAATGTGTATTTTAACAGGAACTTTGTGTTATACCAAGGGAATTTAGGGAAAGACGATTATATAATGCCGCAAATTATTTACGGCAAAAGGTATTTAAAAGAAAATTGCCTGGTTTTCTCAAGTTTGGTTTTCTTTGGGGATCTTTCATATTCGCTTTATTTTTGTGTGTGAACTGTTTCTCTTATATAACTTATAGGACTAGTCTCATTAGCCAACATTTAACTATCAACTTTTAGTTATTTTAGTATTTCAATCTTTATATTTTAGATCTTACTGATTACATTTACTTTTTAGATACCAGGACTTCAAGAAGTTCACCATCACACGAATTTTATTATTGACGGATTCAATTCACAATTTCAAAAGTTGAAGTCATATATTTTAGTTGATAGAGAACATTTTCCTGAGAAAGGACATCGTTTTACGGCAATTTACAGCCGCGACCGAGAGTACTTGTAAGTATATTTGACTTGAAAAATTGGTTCATTCAATTATAGTTCTGTTGTTTTTAAATCAATAATAATATATGAATAATGTTACTGCATTGTTACAGATTTGATGTTGAATCTCCCTGTTTTTTTACTCCAGCCATACATTCGAGAATTGTCCAATTTATATTGGATCGGAAAATGTTTAGTGAGAGAACAGACGATGACTTTTCTTTTGGTATAGAGAGACTATTGAATGAAAAGACTTATACGGCTGTTTATCCCTTACATGACGTACGTTTTTTTTTACTGAAAACTTATTATATATGCTTATTTTATGATATTTGCTTATATTATTTAGGGCGATTTGAGACAACCAGGCTCAATGAGGTACTTATTATATAATGAATGGGCAGCTATACGCAGATGGTATCGTTATCAACCATTGGATTACGTTAGAGATTATTTTGGGGTTAAAATTGCCCTTTACTTTGCTTGGTTGGGATTTTACACGCACATGTTATTATCTGCTTCAATTGTTGGCTTAGCTTGTTTTATATACTCCTGGATTACTCTGTATGACAACAAACCAAGGTAATTCCTTTACATGTTTAGCAAATAAATGAAAAAAATCACAAGAATATAATAATTTCAGTGAAGACATATGCAACTCACAAATAAGTATGTGTCCACTCTGTGATAATTGGTGTTCGTATTGGAATCTCAGCGAGACGTGTGTTCATGCTAGAATTACGTACTTATTCGATAATCCCACTACTGTGTTTTTTGCTATTTTTATGTCTTTCTGGGGTAACTAAACAAAAGCGCTTTTTGTAATAGAATAAATAAATTGTATTTATTACTTTAGCTACACTGTTTTTGGAAATGTGGAAGAGATATTCTGCCGAAATTACACATAGATGGGATCTTACTGGGTTCGATGTGCAAGAGGAACATCCAAGACCTCAGTACTTGGCTCGTCTATCGCACATTAAAAAGAAGCAAGTGAATATTGTTACAAACACGATGGAACCTCAAGTACCATTTTGGAGAATGAAATTTCCGTGAAAGCTATTATAAAACCCTGAAAATATTTGAGTTTTTAATTTAAGCACATTGTAGTTTCGATTCTTACATTAGTTACAACAGACAATTTTCCAATGGAGTCCAGTATCCTATACCATACTCCAATATCCCGAACCCTTTGAGTCACTGGTCTCCGATAAAAGGTCAATAGTTTTTGCGCATCCAAACGCATCTCCAATATGTTGTTAAGCAATGCAAAGAACGGTGCGAGCGGAAATGCCGCAACGAATATTGTCACAAAACCATACTGCAGCACTATAAATAAAGAAAGAAGCAAAACATAAGTCAATTGCATATAAAAATTATTCGTTAAAATCAAGGACGGACTCAAGACACACGTATATTACATAACTTAAATTGACTATTTAAACAATATTATCCGAATTTAAATTGTACCTGGCATGGTGTAACCTAAAAAATTAAAAACAAATAAAATATAAGAATTTCCTTAACTTAATATAAAAATAATACGTTTATAGCTATCTGTAAATAATTAATATACAGGTTACTCCTTACCCATCTCTAAATATTCAGGAAACAGACTTCGCGGCCCCCATTCGACTAATTTGAAATCCTTGATCCACTGAGGCTGTTTCTCTTTATTTATTGGAGACTGATCTTTCTGCAATCCAATCTTCACTTTCCACGTGTTCAATTTCTTGTAAAATAGCGGGAAAAGCATTTCTAGAACAGTGTTCATAGCTTGCTTGCCAATCATGATAATTGCTAACTGTATGCAAAGCTCCATCAAGCAACCTTCAGGTCCGCACTGAAAATAAATGTAAGTATCGCATTGCACGTCTATTTTCAATTAATTACCTCCTCTTGTCTGTTTTTAAAAATTTTGTTATACTTTCTAGGTGATCCGATAAATTTTCCTTTGAAGAACGCAATATAAAAGATTGATGCGTAATGATTAACAAATTGTAACAAATATATTTTTAAGGTGAGTGAATCGTCGAATTCCGTTTGTGTCCGCAGGAATTCCATTTCTGTCAAATATTGGGCAACGAATGTGTAAATCTAAAATAATGTAATGTAATAAATCGTTATAGAATTATAAATTATATCTCTGTACCCAATTGAACACGAGAATGCAGCATAAATTTATAGATGCAGCTGTACTTGTGCTGAAGAACAAAGCTGCGCTCGTCGTTACGCGATCTTGGTAAACGCTTAAAGCTGCAAGAACGGACATCCGATATAAGACAACTGCTACAACAGTAGCCACCGCCAAAACAACCTATAATAATTGTAAATTAAGATGAGTAAGTTAACATTAGTTATATCTTACTAATAACATGACCACAGAAAAACTTAGTATCGTAGC